CTCCATGAACTCCGGCTCAACTAGTGGCGTGAAGCTGACGGACTGTTTAGTCGACGATTGTGGTGGTCGACGGGCAGTGTTTAATGGTGACGGGGTGATGGTTGTCGACTGGAAAATGACGAGGGCGTTGGTTGCGACAGTAGGGTGGGTTGTTTGGGCAGTGGTTAATGGCTGGAGCTCGGACGTGAGAGAGTGGTTGGTTTTGGGTTATGGTCGCCGGACATGGTGGAGAGCTCGACAACGCAGCAACAGCTGCTCGAGTTCCGGCGAGGGGGCAGCGACGACGCGATGGAAACGTAGCAGCAGTCGCTGCTTGACGGAGGCTAGACGCGGTGGGTCGTTGACGGAGTGGTTTTGGGGTGGAACGAGGGTGGTCGTTTGAGAGGCTTGGTGGTCGACGGACTGGGCTGTAGTTTTGGACGCTGGGGAGGTCGTCGTGGGTTTTTGGACGTGGGGGGTGGTGGTTATGGCGTCGGGGTGGTGTTTGGGAGGAGGAGGTTGGTCCGTTGATGGAGTGTTGGTGGTGCGAGGGGGTTCCGGAAGGTATGAAGGAGCTTAGTGGTCGTTCATGGTGGGTTTGGGCAGTAGGGGTGTTGGTCCGGTGCTGGGGGAAGTTGGGAAATGGAGTCCTTTCTTCTCAGTAGGGTTTGCTTTCTTTTCCCCTCCTGAAGAAGAAAGCGGAACAGTACTATATTCCAAAATTCCAAAAGTCCTGTTCGTTCCCCAGTCCAAGTCTCGTGCATTTGTATGGGTTTGCCCCAAAAAATGAGCCCCACGCGTGGTGGGGTTCGAGACTTATGTCCCCCACGCGTGGTGGGGTTCCCCATGTGTCCTGGACACGGTTTATTGTGGGCTAGGTCCGAAATTAGGCCTAAAACCGGGTAGTTTAAACCCGAATATTATTCTTTTGCCCGGACCCGAGAAATAGGAACACGTTGCTTAACTAGTCCTATGTAAGCAAAATAACTACCAAAAATAAGACTAGTATTTAAACAAAACTATATCTTTTTAAATATTTTTCAAGGTTTAAAATAGCTACAAAATATTAATAAAACTATTTTTTGTTATTTTCGTTTTTAAATATTAAGATAAAATATGAGGTAATATTTTTGTATTTTTCAAAGTTAAAAATGACTATAAAACCTTAATAGAACTATATTTTTTGTAATTTTCGAAATTATATAAAGTACAAAAATAAAGTGCAATTTTTGTATTTTTCAAGTTTATGAGAGATACATAAACTAAAATTTATATATATATTTTTGAAATTTTCTTTTGCAACGAAATAAAGTAAAAATAGTTAAAATAGCTATATTGGACCCAATTTCACATATTCATGCTAAAAATGTGAAAATTCTAGGGGAGGGTCAAAAATCACGTGCTTACACTCAACGTACTTTTTTTCTTGTTGCAGCATAGGTTTTCGTCGGGCTTTCATCCCTTTAGAAATCTGCACATATAGGATCACTTACTTGGTCACCTGATGCTATGGAGGGTCCCACTCAAGTATCCGTTTTGATTCATGCAGCTACTATGGCAACAACTAGCGTTTTCATGATAGCAAGGTGCTCCTCTTTATTTGAATACCCACCTACGGCTTTGATTATTATTATTTTTGCAGGAGCTATGACGTCATTCCTTGCGGCAACCACTGAAATATTACAGAATGATCCCGATCCATGCCATTCTTCGTAGTATACCTGACTGGTGGGATCTACAGATGTAGTGGCTGGTGAACCACTTCTTCTTCTTCCACGAAGATTCAGACAAAACCGAGCTTGGATCGAACTAAACAAGATTTGGCAAACGAATACAAAGGTCAAAGGCTTTATTATTCAGAAAGTAAAAGGAGGTTGATTCTATTCTTTAGGATGCGCTCTGCATTCATCAAGCTCGTATACTCCCATCGACTCTTTTTGAGTAAGATCAGTAGGCGATAAGCTCACATCCGGCTCCATAGAAGGAAAATTATGTTCCTATTGTTAAAACATACGATTAATGGGGAGATAAAGAAATAAAATTTTACAAAGTGTAACGCTCAGATCTAAAGTACTTCAATATTTTCAATACAACTTTAGAAATTAAATCTGAAAGAGTTCAATCTCTTCAATACAACTTCATAAATTCGATTTTGAAGTAGTTCAATCTCTTCAATGCAACTTCAGACATCAAATCTGAAGTTCTTCTATCTTCCAAATGCAACTTCAGATTTTAAATCTTAAGTTTTTCTTCGAATTTCAAACAATTCAATGCTCAAATCTACTCCAAATAACCTCAAATTTGAAACATAACTTTCATCATAAAGAACAAATCACAATCATCAAATTGTCAAAACAACAACAAATTTAACAAACTCGTTTTCAACTAAGAAGAAGAAGAAACTTTAAGCACAAAGAAGAAGAAAACAAAAATGTATGTATTTGAAGTTATCCAAAAATTGGGTATCAGTTAAACTTTTTTTTTAAAAGTGGATACAAATTCAATGAGTAGCACAAAATTGGGTGCCACATGAAAATCTGCAAGCATTGGAACTTTTTCATCGGGTGAGATCCATAACCGAAAGATGTCTATCAAAGAGTTAGAGGGACTGACTAAGAGCCCGTTTAGATTGGCTTAAAAAAGTAGCTTTTCAGCAGAAATAACTTTTAAGCCAAAAAGCAGTACGTTGGGGTTGCCGAACTTATTGCTTTTAGCTTGTTTTAAGCATTTTTAAACTTATTTTAAGCATTTTTTGCCTTTGCCAAACACTGAAAAAAGCTAAAAGGAGCTTAAAAGCTAATTTGACCAACTTAAAAGCCAATCCAAACACCCTCTAAATTACAAAACAGTTAATTTCGTGTATTCACTAATGTTCATGTCTTTGCAAAGAGCAGATTATTCACTAGTGACTTAAATTAAACATTGGTTTTGTTTGTTGCAATACCTTCCAGTTAATATTTACAGTTACACAGTGGAATAACTTATTTGTCTACCAGTTTTACAAGCTTACTCCCAGTCAGCATCAAAAAATCCTGCATCTTTCATCTCTGAGTAGTAAGCGCTGTCCAGAAGCCAATCTTCCTCCTGCAATTGTGACGACAGAAATGAGAGAACGCTTGCAATTGCGCCCAACAAATAATTAATTAGTCAAAGACCTAACTTGGGTAATTACCTTGAAAAAATCAGCTAGGAACGTTACATAAAGAAAAGGAAGATAAAGGGAGTGATAGCAAACTACTGCCAAATTATACAACCTGCAAAGTCAAACGATTTGCAAATGTCAATTGAGTTGAAAAGACTATTAATTTGGAAGAGTATAGGTGTTGGAAACAAATTTGTCTCTACCAAAGTCCAAAGTCAGCCTTAATGCCTGCAAGCCCACAGGCAAATAACACTACAGCAGTTGTTGCAAACATGACAATGACATAATTGTAAAAGGCTGGTCGTGCTGCATATAATGGAAAACACTGTATGTTAATACGAGGTGTTGGACAGGGAAAATGGAATAGGAGAAGAGGAATAAAACATCTGACTTACGAGGCAGCTTATCTCTCCACTTTGAGAAATGCACAAATAATATGTAGCCATACGCTCCAGTAAGAAGAAGTTTGTGGGTGAACCAGACACCCCACTTCCCCCTATGAGCTATTTCCACGTCATGGAAAAGTGGAACTCCAAATCCAAACATAAAAACTACCTGACGAAATGAAAAGAAAGGCATATAAGAGCTTCCACATATATTAATGAACGTGGTTCTGTCGCATCTTTAAAAAAAACGAATGTGGTTCTGAAAAAGTAGCAACAACTCTGGGTCACGAACGTTTTTCACTTCTTGCTTCCTATTAAACAGAACCAGGTTTTTTATGGGTAAACAATATACCCATGTCCCAGTGCTTATTAGCAAACAATATACTCAGTAATCTCGACAAATATCCAAGTTGGGCACGCATTAATTACTGATCCCACCCCTTCTCTCCCAGCTGCATTATTTAGTGGGGTAAGTTTTGCTACCATGTCCCATGTCCCAAAAGCACAACAACATTAATGTGTATCCTACCTTTAACAATCATGATGGGCTAAAAATTCTCTGTTCCTGGATGGATGTCGCTGTTCATATACACTTACCTTTTGAAGACTGATTTCTCTTGTTTCAAGAGAAGCTTTGCAACAACAGACAAAATGAGGCATCCCTTAAATTCAGGGAATCGAACAAGGAGCGGAACACATCACATTGAGATAAATCATTTTAGTGTGTCGTTGGAGCACCAAAGGCTTCCAATGAAATGCAATTACATGTTTAGCATGGCTTGTTAAAGCACAAGATCTTGATCCTGTCCTGGTTGCAAGTGTAAGAAACTCAAACCAACCAATCAAGCTCTACAAGATATACAAGGCAACAGACTCAGCAATCTTCTCGCTACAATATAAGAGCATTCTCCCTCAGTATTCTTTTACCATGTAATATACCACCATTTAATTTGCGTTCTCACTATTGGCCATTTGGAATTTAAAACGGGACACTATAGCGCCCAATATTTTCTTTTTGAATCGGTACTATAGCGCCCAACATTGTGAGGGTTTGTCCACATTCTTTTCAATTAAGCTTAAGATGAAAACAAGGACAGCAACTGATGGGAAACTACGCGATTTCTGCAACACTATCATTTGCTTCATCTATGCTCCCGTACAAAAGGAAAATTCATGGAAATTCAGTCAAGAAGGAGAAACATTATAGCAAGAAAGTGAATATTTGAATGGAAATAAATAGACCTATGCGCCAAAGTTTCACCAGAATTACACTTCAATAAATTTAACCACATAGCCGGTGCTGAATACTGGGTCTTTCTTCTGTGTAGATTCCACTTATCGGCAAACTTAGTTTAATGGGTTCCTTTAATTCGTTGGATAGGGGCCAATTTGTGATAAAGTTTATGCTCAGGCTGGAAAACAGGTTTTCTGTTACTGGGTTGCAATCATCGGTGCATTCACCAAGTAAACTGTCTTTGTTAGTCAGAAGACAAAGAAACAAAATGAAGAAATCTTTACCTTTAACAATAAATCTGCCCCGACAAAAAGGCCTGAAACCATGAACGTACGTGCTAAAGTTTCCAAACAGCTCGCGTAATTGTCCTGAAGTAAGAATGCCACTATGCTAATCTCCAGAAATAGCATTGCTGACGTCGCAAACAATGACAGAAGATTCCAAGCCACCTGCTTTCCTGGAGTGCACTGCCACACCTGCTTTGGCAGAATTTGGATGGGTGAAGCAATAACAGTTAAGGACAGCAGTGTGTATAAAGATTATTGTTTACGACTACAATATTATACATAGACCATAACAGCACTAACACAGAAGGTAAGATAGGTTCCAGGACACAGACCCCTTTCCTTCAAGCAATTTTTACAGCAAACAAGCCCACATAACCACTCAAGAAACGACAACTTTTGATCACATTCCATAACATAGAAACTCAAGAAAAGATTGACCACAATAATCAAGCACAATTCTCTTAAGCATATGATGCTAATCAGAGTTCATTTTATACTATTTTCTAGTCTTTTACTACAAAAATAGCGCAAAGGTCAGATTAAGTCATGCTTTGATCACCCTGTTTATCTAGATATCCATATTCCCTCTTAATTTTCTTTTCTACTTTATCTTCATCAACCACAATGGTAATAATACTCTATTTGCAAGCCAAGAGCATCATTTTCTTTTATAACGGTGGTGTCCATCCAACTTGTGCACACCTCAACTATTCACCATGTACTAGCATCCTTCCGCCAATGCAGTTACCAGGCAAATCTTCCCACCAAGGAAACATTTTTGCCTCGACTGGGATTGTAACTCCGACCTTCCATGGTCTTCATTCCAACTACTGATATGCTACACCCTTGAGGTGCAAATCGGTAGCATCATAAGAGTTGATGAGTCAAAAATCTAGAGTCAA